TTTCTTCTCCCAATCCAATTTCTATCCTGTCCAATTCATTTGACCTTGGAAAGGCTGAAAGGACTCAAGGAGACTTTATCAACAGAGCCCTGTGCCTACTGGTTCAGGAGAACCAGGCAGGAGACTGGAGGAAGGAGAGGGTCATGATCAGTTGGCAGTTAAAGGCTGGAGGAAGCCATCGATCATACTCTAGAACTGTGACATATGAAGGTGGTGGAACTCAGAAGACATTTCTTGGATTTGTACAATTCTCAGGGTGAAGCTGTAGCCCCTCCCCCATACCCACACTCTGTTTCTTTTGCTTTTTATTCTGTCCTGACTGAGAAACACAGGGTGTCTTGATGCCTCTAGGATTAGTCCAGCTGCATGTTTTCCTGACAGGCTTGAATCCAAGCAAACACTGATAAAGTAGTTAAACTGTTGCCCTAAATACTAAAAGAAACTAACCTGGGCCTTAAGCCAAATTCCTTAAACCTTCTTATACAAACCATGGCTTGACCTCTTCCTTGTGGAAATACCTCTGTAGAATACTCGTTATCTCACTGCAGCCCCTTCTATACATCAGTTCCTCTAAATGCTTTGGCTGATCACCTGGCATACTGCTTCTTTCTTTGGAATCCAAACTGGCCCTATCTTGAATGTGGGAGGTTTCCTGCTCTAGCCAGGGGATCAGCAGGAAGAAGCAGAAGTCATATTAGAGAACACGATCCCAGGAGATGGCTGATGTCCCGTGGTTCTCGACTCGCTCTTGAGCATGTGAAATACTCTCTGGAAGTCCAAGGAAACACTTGGGTGTATTCTGATGGGACTGGTGTCCTTCATAAGAAGAAATGAAATGTGCTAAAGGAAATTCAATTTACCTATAGACTGAAACTTGGGAACATCTGTATCCTGTTAAGAATGAAAAATTCGGCAGAAGGTAGTCTGGTGATAGGAATATGGTAAATTACAGGTAGTAAGTAAAGGAAGGGAGTTAAGAGAGGGTGGAATTTACATCAACAGAAAACTTTGTAGCTCCAAGCAACTACTCCCCAGCTCCTGAACCAGGCTTTGAAGTTTATCCTAACTTTGATAATAGGCTTCTATTTGTTTAAAAATTATTTTATTATAAAATGTATAATAAAAATATATGTAAAACAGGCTTCAAGTTTTTAATTAACTTTATTGAATTATAGGGATCAAGGAGCTAAATCATTCATTTTAGAGATTAAAAAACTAAGACTCAGAGAATTCAAGATTTACTGGTTACATAATTAATGTTTGTATTTTTGAGAGAGCCAATATTACTATTTAATATTTTAGATTTTAATACTGCTGCTGAAAAATTGACTTTATTTTTTAAAATCTCATTCAGATTCATTTAGTACATTTTCCTCTATTTTATATATTTTGATAGATGTCATATAATAGGAGTTCATCTTTCCTAAAATTTCAGGTGATTTCTAATTACAAAACAATATATAAAGTATGCTTCAGTTTGCTCTCAACTTCAAGAAAAGAGGCAGGCAGACAGTCAGTTACTTCAAAATTACCCATTTATTTTGTCAGGAAAATGACAATGTGTTATGTTCACAAAGTTTATAAACAACTCCTATGTAAAAAGTATAAACAAAATTTCTGGTTTATATCAATGTTAATTTTGCTTCTCAAAGCTTTATAACATTTTATATGAGTAATTTTAACTGAGATTTTTCTACTGAAAATTTAGAAAGGAAAATAAGTTTATTAAATAAAATAGGTTATTTAAATATACTAAATGAAATTAAATAAATGTCTGTTTTGTTAAAGCATCAAAATTTCAGGCAAAGAGCAATACACTTTAAAATTATATTCAAATTTATTCTTACAGAAGAGCAACTTTTCCTGGCTAGTAGACCTTTTGAGTCCATTTGAATTCTGGCAACCATGGAACATCACTCAGGGAAGGAAATGTACTTCACAGAGGGAGAGATTTTTCAGTTTTCTCTCAACTTTCTTCTATCACCTGGAGATAACTCTTGAGATTCAGATTGTGGAAACCTAAGCAAACTATCCACTAAGTGGGTCTATATTTTTAAGGGAGAGAAAGGTCTGTAATTTATGATCAAAGTCAATTGCTCTAAACTGAGGTTCCTTGTATTGTCTGGTCATCTTATCACCCAAGTACGTTATGAGTTCACATCTCTCCATAAACTGTTCCATCTTCTTCTTATACTTTTTTCTTGTATATTCAGAACCTTTGGGATTAAATGCTGTAGAAAATTCCACAAAATTTTTGTGAATGTTTTCTGATAGGTTAATGAATTATTAACTGAAAGAGAAATAAATCTGGGTGTGTGAGTGAGTTGCACAGTGATGGATGGCTAAGGAGACAGTCACTTTCCAGACAGAATTTGAGGATTCTATTTTTGACCATAATTGTGTATATTCACCTTTCTTTGTGGCATGGATTATTAAGAACTAACTATATTAGTTATAGTCCTTGCTTTAAAACTAGTTATTCAGTTTTGATATTTTTTGTTATTTTGTATTGCATCTGCCCCTCCCACTCTCTCTTTCTCTTCAATGAAGCAACCAGCCCAGTTTAACAATCCTATTTATCTTATTTATAATGTATACTACAATGAATGATAAATTAGTTCTGAGCAGTGTATCATTAAAAAAGACATACCTTTTAGATGGAATGCTATATACAATAATGCAGATTTCTGTACACTTAAGAAGGGGAATTTGGGCTTCAGGCATCCTGCTGCATTCATTGCTTTAATTAAAGAAGATGCAGTACCCTGTAGGAAGGGAATAATTTAAATCATATATTTATTTGAGTTTGGTTTCTTTTCTCAGTGAAGATAAATAGAGAGGCCTATTCCTTTCCTCAAATAACCTCCCTGAGGTTGTGAATGAGGGTTATAAAGAAAGTCAGACGACCATTTAGCCAACAGGAAAGAATATACTAACTACATTTAATTAGGAAAAATGAGATGTAAATTGACTTAGTACCAGTTGGGTAATGGATACATGCATGAGTTTCATTACACCATTCTATTTTTATATGTGGACATTTTCCATAACAAAAAAGAAAAGAAAAAAGAAAGAAGGGACCACTGGGCTTTGAGCTATCTGGGCTCACCTCTGCTTCAAAAGATCAGAATTATCACCACACTCAAAATTCTAGAGCTCAGAAGATAAGAATTTTAATGATAAAATTTGGCCTTTATGAGAATATTTTTCTCTGGGTGAGCTTCCCTGGAATTTTGATATTAAACTAGACTGAAGACTAACTTTCTAGCACGTTGAAAAAGACAATGTAGTTAAGAATTTGTGATAAAGGTATAAAATTGTGCCCTGGGCATTTATTTTATAGAATTTTTAAAAACAGCTGTCAAAATAGTTAACTACTGATAAACTTACTATTTTAAAAAGAGTTACATCCAATTAAATAAGATGACACCAGTAGATAGCTTCATCTGGATTTGGGGCAAAATACTTGTCTGGTATTGCAGCTTGACTCTTGAGCAGTGAAGAAGCTGCTTGGAGACTGAATCTGCACATTTCAACTTATGAAAAAATGTACAGACTGAAATTTTAAAATGGGAACCAGCTGGGCATAGTGGCACATGACTCTACTCCCAACAACTTGGGAGGCTGATGCAGAAGGATCACAAAGTTCTAGGCAAACATCAGTGACTTAGTGAGGCCCTAAGCACCTTAGAAAGACCCTGTGTCAAAAGGAAAAATCAAAAGGGCTGGGGATGTGGCTCTGTGGTGAAGTTCCCTGGGTTACATTCCTAGTACAAAAAGAAAAAAAAAAGAAAGAAAGAAAGAAAGAAAGGAAGGAAGGAAGGAAGGAAGGAAGGAAGAAAGGAAGAAAAAGAAACCAAACAACTATAAGTCAAATGTAAGTAAATTTATATGATCTACTCTTTCTTCACTCTAGTGCAGATATTTAGGAATTGGCTGTGGAAGTAGGGGCTTTTCATAGACTTTACCCTTAAGTACATTAAGAGTGGATTTTTAACTTAAATTCATAAAACTCTGTCTTGAATTTCAATGCTACCAAAATAAAAATTGAAAAGAATAGACCATTGTATTTTTCTAATGTGTTATCACAGAAAAATCATGTAACAAAACCTGTTCCAGATAGCCAGGCAAAGGGAGACTAGTAAGGTTTATTGGTTCCTTTAATGGAGGTAGTTTGTGTGGAAGCTTCTGATCCCAGTATTTCAGTGGAAACCTAAAAACACAAAGTTCATTAAATGGATGCTCATAAATATATTCATTCTGCACATTCAGAAATACAGATGTACAATTCATTTGGGATCCCAGCCCTGTTCACCTTGTCTTATTTTTCACAGCAACTATATAGAACTTTCTTTATTCTCCTCTAGTTTGATTTTCTAAGTACTTCCTTCTATCCCTCAGGCAGATGCCATGTGATATACAGGAAGGAATCCATCTGGATGGAAGCCATCCTCCATCGGCTGCTCAAGCAAAGCCACACATATGGTCCTCTTTCCTGGCAGACCTTCTATCTAAGACCAGTCCCTGGCCACACTTGGTTCCCCACTGCATCCTCTCCCCCCATGTATCTTACTATGGCAGTTTCTCTCTCCTTCTTTATTGAATTCTTCCCATATATCTGCATTTAAATACACTCATAATTCCTTTATTAAAGAAAATCCAACTTCACTCCTTCAATCCTTTTCACTGCTCCCAGCAACTAACAGCTATTTTCTTACTATGGTTGAAACAATGAGTCTTCCTAGAGATCACAAACTAACTGAGTTCTAGCTACAGAAGTGATGGGATCTACATGGTATTTTATTTAAACATTCGAAGCAGTCATGAATGTTTAATAATCATAAAGTTTAAAGAAAATTCATTTCCAACTTCTGTGGAAACAAGAACTGTCTGGTAGTACATGAGCAACTGCTGTCCCCTTTAGCCAGGGGCTATGGGGTCCAGTTTGCAGCCCTTCCCACCACTTGCCACTTGTCCTCTTTCATAAGCAACTGGCTTCCCTTTGCTCCTTTTCCTCCTGTCTGCTGAGGACATCTGTATTTGTAATCTCTGAACTACAGGAGGTCCTAATCCTCTCATCTCTCTTCAACTCCACTCCTCATCTCACTCTAATCAACATTATTCCCAAGATCACCAGTGGCCTGGGATGACCAGAATCTCACAGGCATTTCAGTCCTTGTGTAGCTTGACCTCCCAGCAGCATTTAAACCTGTTGGCCATTCCCTCCCACAGACTTTCTGTCTTTTCCTCCACCTCCCCCATAGCCTCCTATCCTGCTCTCCTTTCATCTCTCTGTGGTTCTTTTTATGGGGTTCTTCTTTTTCAGTCTCCCATGTAAATTCTTCTGACACTGCTTTGTGGGTGTTTAGCAGAGTGTGGTCCCAAGCCTGCTGAGGCAATATCATAGTATTTTGGACAGGACTACACTATCGGCCTCCTAAATGGTATTCCTGCCTCTAACCCAAACTCAACACTCCGTAGTGGTCTCCCTCTGGAACAAATCTGATTCTAACACTGACCTACCTTAATACCAGACAGTGTATTTATACTCTCCTTAGGGTCAAGTCCAAGTGCTGTATGGTGGTTTTATTTACCCTCTGCACTCTGGCCCTGCTTACCTCCTCCAGCCTTACTTCTGCCTCTCTCCCTCTCCACATCACATCCAGCCATGCTGAATTTCTGCAGTTGCCTGATCCCCAGGGCCAGATTTTGTCCCTTTATCTAGCCCATTCTCAGTCCTCATTTAAACAATTCAGTTGTGGTTTTGGGCTGCATATTTTGATCTGGGAACTCCAAGTGCTTCCCGCCCTTGGGCCCCATCACAGGCTGTTGTTATCAGGTACTTGAAGTCTATTTTACCAGAAGGAAGCCTCAGGATTTGGGACAGCAAGGACTAGTCCTTGCTCTCTACTCCTCCATTTCCCAGCATGGTGCATGGAACACAGAAAATATTCAGTGAATATTTATGACTTAGTAAATAATCTCACCTCAGGAATTTATCAAGTTTTTCTTTACTCTCACAAATATATATACGATCACGGTATTCTACAGCATAATTAATGTTACCAGGTACGAGGGCTTCATATCTGAAAGATCAAAACCAAAGCAAAATAAAAAACATCCTTCTGTGTAAACAAAATGTCAATGTTTTCTTTTTCTACTTATGCAGCTCAAGGAAGAAACAGAATATTTTCCCAATTAAAAAGTAGCAGCCATTCTGGGGATTGAACTCAGGGGCACTCAGCCACTGAGCCACATTCCCAGCCCTAATTTGTCTTTTAATTTAGAGACAGGGTCTCATTGAGTTGCTTATCACCTTGTTTTTGCAGAGGCTGGCTTTGAACTCATGATCCTCCTGCCTCAGCCTCCCGAGCCACTGGGATTACAGGCGTGCGACACGGCACCAGCCTGATCTTTTGATCAAAACTATGCTATGAAGTACTCATTCTGAATAGGGGCAACTTTCTATACTTCTCTGAGGGTGAGGACTTGCCTTTGTTTTCCATCCTGATAGGTCACCGGACAATAGCCCTGGAGTTCTGCACACTTAGGGAATCGACTCTTCAGCTCTGACAGCGTCAGCCTTTTGGGAATCCTGTCAGCAGGTGGGAGTGGATGAGGTGCCAAGGGAGTCACGTACAATTCTGGGTTCTCCAAAAATTTCTATTAAAAAAGGATTACAGAAGCAAGACCATTTAAAACAGCTACAGTATACCTGTAAAAAATCCATGGAGGCTCTCCTGTTCTTTTCTCCATTTTCAGTTGCAATGTTGTGCCCTTCAAATCACCTGAGAGCTGTTCTCCACACTATGATAACTTTTCCAGTAGGAAGTTCCATATGGTAATCTCCCAAATGATCATGTCTCTCCTCACCTCATTCATTCATATAAAAATGAATTGTTGAGCTTCAACTATGTGACAGGCAGTGTGAATCACCTGCTGGCCTGTCTTCCTGTCCTGCAGTGTAATTAACTAGTTGAGTAATGCCCTTTGGAAGGTGAATTAACTTCTCTAGAGTCAGTTACTCTGTAAAATGGACAGGGTAGGCCAGATACATGATCTCTAATGTCACTTCTACTTTTTAAGTTTTGGGAATACTATTTAAAAAGAGGAAAGAAATGAATTTTCTCAACAAAGAAATAACAATAATTCTACTTCTTCAGAGGAAAATAAAATGTTCAGAGACATCTGATCAGTTTTCATTATTGCCTTCAACTACCAACCATTTTATATCATCAAATTATGGATATTATAATTCCAGGACAAAACCTCATTTTTGTTCCATTAAACAAAAGTACAGTCAGGCATGGTGGCACGTGCCTGTAATCCTGGCTACTTGAGAGGCTGAGGCAGGAGATCATAAGGTGGAGACCAGTCTGGGCAACTTGTCCCCAAATAAAAACTAAAAAAGGGTGGGGATGTGGTTTGGTGATAGAGCACCCCTGGCCTAAGTCTCCAGTGCTACAAAAACAAAGAAAAAAAAAAACACATCCCAGAAGTACAGTTGACCTTCCATATCCATGGACATAAACAGCTGGTCCTCTCTATCAGCAGGGCCTAAATCCTTGGGTTCATCCAACCAGGGATAAAAAATACTCAGGAAAGAAACATTGGTTCTATAGTGAACATGTACAGACTTTCCCTGTTATTATTCTCTAAACAAAACAGAACAACAACTAGTTATGTGGCATTTACATTGTATTAGGTATTATGAATAATCTAGAGATGACATAAAGCATATGGGAAGGTGTGTGTAGGTTATATGCAATACTATGCCATTTTGTATAAGGGACTTGACTTTCAGGGATTTTTGTGTCTTTGTTTGGAGGTGTACTGGAACCAATCTTTACTGAGGGAAAACTGTATGAAAAAAATTTTAAGGGTTGGGAGCATAGCTCAGTGGTAAGTATTCTCCAAGCATGCATGAGGCCCTGGGTTTGATCCCAGTACTGCTAAAACAAAAATAAAACAAAAAAACCACATACACTGTTTTAAAAGTACAGTACACAGTAGTATATAGTAGACATATGTCACCTGTTGTTTCATTTCTATTGACTTTTTTTGGTCCTTGGGAGTTAACCCAGGCTCACTTTTGCACTGAGCTATATCCCCAGTCCTTTTTATTTTCTATGTTGAGACAGGATCTCATCAATTTTCTTAGAGCCTTGCTAAGTTGCTGGGGTTGGCCTCAAACTTGCAATCCTCCTTAGTTGCTAGGAGCACAGGTGTGTACCACCGCACCAAGCCTCTATTGACTCTTTTCTTTACTTTGCAGCCTTTGGAGATGAATCTCCCGGATGCCCACCTATGAGTCGAGGCCTCTATGCTCAGCACCCTCTATATTGGTGAGGCTAATCATATGCTCTCCCTATCTGATAGCTAGCTAAGGCCAAGAGCCCATCATTGCCCCAGGGCTTCTGCTATTTCAAAATATGTTCTGAGATTTGCTCTCAGGACTGATCACTGATTTCAGAGACAAAGATTCCAATAATGGGGCTTCTGGTCCTAAGTTTCTGGGTGTTTCTAGGTGTGGCCACCCCTTGCTCTTTGAAGAATTCAAGATAAGGTGCTTTCTATCCTTGGTAAGTATTTGGATTTAGGAAAAAAACTTACATTTAGTTTTTCCTGGGAACTCATTTTATAATAGTGACCTCTGAACTCTGCTGCAAATTCCAAGGAGTCAGTTACAGAGCAGTCACATAATTCATATGATTCTGCCAGGCTGACAGGGCAGAACTGTCCAAATTCTCCCAGGCGAGAAATTAGTTCTTGAGGTGTGATACACAACTTGTCGATGAGGGCAGCTTTCCCTATTATTAATATATTAACTATTATTATTATTATTATTATTATATATTTTCATATGAAACAAAGATTTTTTAAAAAATAAAATAATTTCAATTATACAGCACTACACAAAAATATCACGCATTTAAAAATTCCAAATGATAAAGTAAAAAGTCAAAGTTACTATTCATACCTCCGACATCTCAAACTAACACCCTTCCCGAGAGGTAATCATTGTTAGGTTTATATCCTTTTCAATCTTTTTTCTATATATTTGCATATATCATATTTTTGCATCTAGTGTGCTTATGTCACTGTGCCCTAAAATATTATTCTGCAACTTGTTTTTATCAGTTAGTCATGGTCTTTGATATCTTTCTATATTGGTTTATATGATTTACCTAATTTTTTAAATTGATACACAGTACTTCACTATATAAATATACATATAATTTACTTAACTATCTATTGATAAGTGTTCTGATTTAGTTTTTAGCTATTATAAACTATATATTATAAACAATATTTATATAAGCCTACATAATTATTTATGTGTGTAAAAACTGGAATGTGTGTGTATGGGTATATATATGTAAATGTATGTATGTATATATAAACATATATATATATTTGCTATATATTTAAAAAATTTCTATGGGATAGATTTCAGGAAATGCAAATAGGTTGTTGACATGATATTACTGACACTAATTTTTCATTGTGTCCAGATGCCACCCTAGGGAAGAGAAGAAACATGTATCCAAAAGGGATTGGGTTTACCCTAAAGAGGATGTTTTAGAAAGAAAGAGTCCAAGGTCCTTTAATGGATAAGTTTAAGAGTTTTCTTCTATTAGAGCGGGGACTCCAAAGCAATATGAGATGTTACAGAAAATTTTTTTTTATACATCTTAGTATAAAAAATGAGTGAATTTGATGCCAATATATTTTAAAGTAGTCCTTTCATTCATTAAAAAGGATGAAATTCTGTCATTTGCAGCAAAATGATGGGGCTGAAGGACACTATGTCAAGTGAAATAAGCCAGACATGTAAAGATAAATATCACATATTAATCTTAGAAAAGAAGAATAGAACAGTGATTACTAGAGGCTAGGAAGAGGAGGGTGTAAGGGAGACAGAGGGTACCAAAATAGAGTTAGACTGGAGGAATAAGCTGTAGTGTTCTACAGCATAGCAGGGTGACTTACGTTTACAACTTAACATAATTTATGAAGAACTGGAAGAGAGGAGTTTGAAGGCATCAAACACAGAGAAATGATAAGGAGATGTGTTATGGTTTAGGTGTGAGGTGTTCCCCCAAGCTCCTGTTAATGCAGAAATATTCAGAGGTAACATGATTGAATTATGAGACTTGTGACCTGACCAGTCCATGGGGTCTGAATGGACTGACTGGGTGGTAACTGTGGGCAAGTGCAGTGCAGCTGGAGGAGGTGGGTCACTGGGGATCTTCCCTGGAAGAGTTGTTCTCTCTGTATCTCTTTCCTGACCCTGACCTGAGCGGAGAGCTTTCCTCTGCTGGGCCTTTCCCTCATCATGTGCTGCCTCACTTTGGCCCAGAGTAATGGAATCAGTCATCTACGGACTGAGGCCTCTGACACCATGAGCCCCAAATAAACTTTTCCTCCTGTAAGTTGTTCTTGTTCGGTGCTTTGGTTACAGTGATGCAAAAGCTAACTAAAAAAGGGCTGATATCTAAATGTCCCGATTTGACCATTACACATGTGTACCTGTACTGATTATCACACTGTACCCCACAAATATTATTATTATGTGTCAAGTAAGAAGAAAAAATAAATTAACAAGTGATAGTTTGAGTAGCAGCAGTCATTTTTTAGAAAAAAAAATAGATATCCCCACACATTTTAGTCCATTTGGGCCACTTACCAAATGTCTTAGACTGGATAACTGATAAACAACAGGAATTTATTGCTCATAGTTCCAGGTGGGGAAGTTCAAGATCAGGGTGCCAGAAGACTTGGCATCTGGCACTTTCTTGCTGCATCCTCACATAAAAGAAGGGGTAAAGAATTTCCCTCAAGCCTTCATAGTAAGGGCAGTAATCCCATTCATGAGGACAGAGACCTAGAGACGTCATGACCTAATCCCTTCTTAAAGTCCCCACCTCCTAAATCTATTGCATTGGGGATTGAATTTCAACATATGAATTTCTGGAGGACATAAAATTTCAGACCATAGCACCACAGCATTGAATAGTACTATATACTTAAAATAAAAATACTGCTTAGGATTGTTGGGACAAATGTTTAAATTTAATAAATTGTGGTAATATGGGTCGGATATGTTTAAACTTTACATTCACACTTTATTTTACATTTTAAAATATTTTCTTACCTTCTCCTATTCTTTCCAGGTATGTCTGCATGTGTTTGTTTATCATGCAAATTTTCTTAGTGACTTCATTCCACACCCACCACTTACTGTGAAGTCCGTCAATCACATACCAGTTCTGATGCTGTTCTTGATAATATTGCCTAATCTCACCAACATTTTTACGGTACTTTGCATTCTTGACAGCTATAATCTGAGCACTGTTGTGCAATGGATAAGGCAAACTAATAGAGAAACAGAGAAGGAATGGAAAAAGCTGTTAAAAACATAACTTTTTTCCTCTCAGTGACTAAAATTCATTTCTTTGTCATTGTTTTTAAATCGTGTACATTACTTTTGTTCACTTTTTTTTTCCAGGAACAATCTTTTGAAGATCTCCTTGGAAGGCACGTCCAACTCAAAGATGATCATGGGAATGATGGAGTTGGTTTCCAAGAGATTCATCTGATATGCAGTTACAGGGTACCCATCGATGACAACGCTTAACACAGAGAAACATGAAAATAAAAATTCTGCATTTCTTCTTTCTAGTGCTGCCTTCCAGAACATGTCCATCTTTTCAGGACTGACCCTAGGCTTTTCCTTACGTAACTCAGTTTATCTAGGTATTTGACAATAATGTCTTAGACCAGAATGTTAGCATAGGAGAGAGAAAGAAGTGGTTTAATTTGAGATGATAGGCAGAAATACATACAATTTATTCATTGACTGGATGAAGCAGAGAGGGGAAAGGAATATATGGAGGATGAAATTTTAGCTTTCTTAAGCAACATAGAAATAATATGGTATAATTTAGTAATAGGAATGGGTGAAGGTGATATCAGAATTTGCATTTATAAGTGTCTATGTTTAAAACAACAGATCAACTTGTGAAATACATTCAGAATTTAAAAGGCATTCGAATGAGTCAAAAATGAGAAAATAAGTATTTGGATACTTAGTCTCAAACTTAAAATACACGTATTTGGGAGTGATGAACTCTGATAGCTCCCAGTTTAGACAGACAAGGGAGCCAGTTTATCCTCTTGTGCTTTATCTTCTTCATTTTTATACCCTAAACCTCAGTCAGCCCAGGAGCCAGGAGGTGGGCAGTACACACAGGGACACAGTTGGGAAGGCAGAGGTAGGAGAGAGGTCTGTATGCAGACACTTAGCATTGCAGAACTAGGTTTTGGCAGAATTTAAGAGAAAACAGAATATTTTAAACACAGTGCTCCAGTTGTGCTATTAGAGTAAGCATGAGCAGCAGAAAGAACATAGATAGATCCAGATTTGAAACCTGGTTTAAGCTCTCTGAGCTTGAGTTTTTAGTAAAACAGAAAAAATGATATTCAACCTTTTAAAAGAGCAGGTATGTACTAGAATAGAACCTGGCATATATTAGATGCTCAGTAAATAGATGTTCTGGGAGGAGAGAGACACTTTTTGTGTGTGGATATTCTGTGAGGAGGTTGTGATACAGAAGGGGAGATGCAGAGTTGGCAAGCGGAGCTTGATGGTATCTGGGTAGGAATCATTCCGTCAGGATTCATCATGCGTGCCTCTGAACAGAAAGGCTGAAGGTAATTTGTTAGTCCAACAGTCTTGAGATAATGGAATGATTTTCATTATCAAACTGAGAGGAATAAAACTGTCCATAAATTATGTGAGGAGTGACTTTCTAAGTTAGGCAGCTCTGTCATCTGTCAGGGTCTATCTAGCCTTAGTCACAGAATGTGCTCCCCCAGAGCTTTCTAGAGAAGTCGCTAGTATACAGTCTAAGTTTCATGGTAAACAGCATGTAAATGAACATGGCTGGTCTACTATGAGAGAAAAGGTTGCTTTTTGTTATATCTCGACTTCTTTGTCCTGAGTGGCCTTCAGGATTAGGGAAATCCAGGGTGAATGAGCAGCCTTTGTCCTGGGATTGAGGTGAAATAAAACCTTTGTGACTCAACCAGAGTTGCCCTTACCAAAGTCCCTCCTATGCAAAGCTGAACAAAAGGGAGGAAGTAAATCAACTGGACATGTTCCTTCTTATCCCAAAGGGCGTGCTCTGGGAGAAAAGTGTGGCACTCCAGAATATGCTCTCCCATAACTGAAATCAGAACTGTTCAAAGTCTTGACCAGGACCATTGGCAAGGAAGGGCCAAGAGGCTCAGAACACACAACAACCAGCTCAGTGACCTAGGCTCAAGGACGGGGCCTTAGGCTTCTGGAGTAGAGTTTTTACTCCCTGGGTGTGGCAGTGACTGTGCTGCAGGAGAGTGGGCCAGCACAGGAGAGTAAACTAAACACACAGCTAAGCACGTAGCTCTCTTGTCCAGATACAGCATTAAGTGAGGCGCACTGTTGCCTGGGTAGGCAGCGGGTCAGACAGAGCTAAAAATAATTAAGCTTTGAAAATTTGACATCTTGTTCAGAAATTAACCAACATTTCAGCAAAATGGAGATTACCTTTGCTCTGGATGTAGGATTTTATTTTGGATGTCAAAGTTCTGTTGTCCTTGGGAAAACCCATTATCTTTATAAACATTTAGATTATGACATGTCACATTAAGAAGTTTAAGTTAACAAACAAATTCTTCATCTGAAGAGCTGGAACATTATACTATACTTTACTATTCATGGCATCAAATTCATCTTTAACCTTGTCTCGGAATCAGCACCATCTGAGACAGGGAAGGCTGCATTTCCAAAATTCCGTGGGGCAGTAAGAAGCACTTTTGGGGTGTAGAAGTCACATGGGTCTCCTCTGTGGACTGTGTAAGCCTGGAGGCCTTTGTACAACTCGGAGGTTCTGCAGGGATGAAGTGGTCTGCCTGCTAATCTAGCAAGTGAACATTCAAGTTGAGTCTCACTTTGAGGGAATTTAAAATATGTAACTATATTATTGCTCCAAGTTTGAGAAGTACATTGTAACCTATATGATAGCTTTAAACTCTCTTTAAGATAAGTGCTTTTAAACTGCTAGTGAGCAATTTCTTGATGGCCCTTCCTCCCATCCTACTTTCTTACCCTGAAGTATTGCACACACTGTCCATCAGAGCAAGATCTAAGGCTTGGATGGCCAGTTCATCAGGTGCTACCATTCCTTTATGGAGATGCCAATTTAACATCAATCCCAGCTCTGTTTCTGCATGATTGTTCAATATAGTACGCAAAGCATCTCCTATTGACAAATGTTTTAAGCCATAATCACTTGCGAGTTTTTTGGCCACTGAAAAATATGAAATGTTAAACATATTTCACTTCACACATTTATCAGTTAACCTTACTTTCAGACTCTGGTTAATGATATCAATACCCAACTAATCTTCATACTCCTCAAAGAAAATCTGAAAATTAAAATTGCCACATTTTACTGAAATAATAATTGTCAGAGATATGTTATTCAGGTTTGTGATTGATGAAGTTGACTAATGAGTTCATGTGTCTTGGAGGGTTTTCCATAACCAAACCCATCTTCTTCTAGCTGCATGAAGTAGCAAAATTTTTGAGAGCGCTTCAATAATTCCTATGTATATTCTTAATATTTGGGACCATGTCCAAAATAACAATGTAACAACTTGTACAGAATGCATTAATGCCTTTCCCCATAATACCATCACTAACCCATATACATGTAGACGTACATAGGACATCCTATGTTTAATCAACATTAATAGAACTGTCACCATGCATATAAACCCGTCCATAATACTCACATAGTACATAATACAGTACATCATAACTTGACATAATAAGCTCACCAACATGACAGTACTTGCCATAATATTAACTCTTTATAGTACAGAGCACATTAAGATCACTAGCGGTAATACCATATTTGTGTCATAAATCTCTCTCGTTCCAAATGACTATCCCGTACCAACCGTGGTCCCATAATCTACCATCCTCCATGAAACCACCTACTCGTCCAATTACATGTCCCTTTTCTTGCTCTGATCCCATTTTAACTTGGGGGTAGCTAATAGTGAACTTTATCTGGCATCTGGTTCCTACCTCAGGGCCATAAGTCGCATAATCGCCCACTCATTCCTCTTAAATAAGACATCACGATGGATTAGTTCCATTCTAGCCCATGACCCAACATAACTGCACTGTCATGCCTTTAGTGGTTTTATTTTTGGGGGGATGCAGAGACTCAATTGTAGCTGTATTTATTAATCAATATTCTGGATGGTACCATTCTCCTATCTGCCCATCACTGAATTCCATGTTACAATCAGGATCGCATACCTTTTACAACTAGGTCTCAGTTAATCCTTTAGGAAAGAATTTTTTAAAAATTGTAATGGCACACCTGACATTTTTATAGTGACTTATGGCTTATGAGGCAGTTTTTGTTTTTTCCTTCTGTGGCCTTATTGGATATTTTCAACAGTTTTATTGTGTAGATGGAATGGATATTGAAATTCTAATGTCCATTAGACTCATCTGATGGAATAGCTGAACAAATCAACTATCAGGGCCACCCAAAAGGAAAGCCCCTGTGAGATCCACAGAGCAATCTCAGTTTCGCCACAAATGCTGGAACCAGACCTATTTTTTTAAAGTTCTGAAAATAATTAAGTTTTAAAATTTGACATCTTATTCAAAAATTAACCTCCATTTTAGCAAAATGGAGTTACCTTTGCTCTGGATGTGGGATTTTATTTTGGATGTCAAAGTTCTTCTGTCCTTGGGAAAACCCATTATCTTTATGAATTTTAAGAATATGACCCTTGTTGTATTAAGAAGTTTAAATGGGCAAGTGAACTTTTCATTTGAAAAGCTGGAACACATAACTATCCGTTACTATTCATGATGACAAATTAATTTTTGACCTGTTTCTCCTCTTTCTTCAGTCAGCCGCTGAGACCTTGTAACTTTTTTCTTTGAATTATGTCCTATATCCGTACTTTCTATTCTATTCTCATTGTGGCTACTGTTCATATTTTTGCCATGTCATTTGGAAACAGTACAACCAATTAGTTTTTGGACTTACTGCCTTAAAACAGAAACAACAAACAACAAAAACTACAGTTCAAAATTATACAAAATTCAAACACAATAGAAATGCATCTTTTAGCAATGATTAAGATAATGAATTTGCATTTTTTAAACTACAGATTGATATGATTTTTCTCTAAGCCATTTGGTCCTAGCTGTTTTTAAGTCAGGTTATAGTTCTGACTGCCTTCTTGCTGTAAGTTGAGTTTGTATGCCAAAAAGGCCCACATGTTAAAGGCTTGGTCCCCAGCCCATGACACTGAGGAGAGAGGTAGGGCTTTGTGGTGGTTTTAGGTGTTGGAAAGCTTATCTTCGAACAAGGTTGTGTGACCTTGGTCTCTTCCTTTCTATTTTTTGTGACCCAGCCATCAAGTGAGCAGTATTGCTCTGATGAACACTCCTTGTCATGCTGTGCTGCCTCAATACAGGCTCAAAAACAATAGGGGCCACCTGGCCATGGACTGAAGCCTTCAAAACTGTGAGCCAAAATAAAACTTTCTTCTCTATAAATTGATTATCTCAGGTATTTTGTTACAGAAACAGAAAGCTAACATACTTTTCTGATGGTTATTGATCTATTTAGTTTTTTTTTTTTTAAATTTCGGAGTCAATTTTGATGGTTTCTGAGTCAAGTGGGTTCCTGGGTTATTATCTTTTGGAGTATGCTGGCACTGTGTTTCAGGAGATTTTTTCATGCTTGAGGAAAACAAAGATATATATACAAGCTCACCTGTAGTTTTCCCAGATTTTGGAGGTCCCACAATTACAATCCTAATAGGCACAGTAAGCTTAGGTTTGGGCTGGCGTATATATTTGATTGGGTTCTTCATGAATTTATCTTTAGTTTCCTTACTAGATAAAAAGTAAATATACTGACGATGGATTACAGGATAAAGTGGATTCTCTGCATTTTCAACTGGCTTGAATATTACTCCTTCATATAACTGCAAAACAATTGAATTTGAAAGATCTTAGCATTAATTTACACAGCATTTCTTCCAAATACGTTAAAAAATTTGTGAAATAAGATGTGAGCAATTGTGGGGGTACACATCTGTAATCCCAACAACTCTCAAGTTGGAGGCCAGCCTTGACCATTTAATAAGCCCCTACTGCATAATAAAAAATAAAAGGCCCAGGGAATGTAACTTAGTGGTAGAGCACCCCTGGGTTCACCCCCCTTGTACTAGAAAAAAAAAGATAAAAAGAAAGAATCTTTGTTATGGACTAAGAAAACTATAATCAGATATTAATATAAAATAACTGTAAAAAGTATAAATTATTGTATACCTGTATACAATCAATGAAATATTTTCTATCAGTTAATGAAATTATAGTTCTACTTCCTTTATATTATCTTTAGTATATATTGACTGTTTCTGCCAAGGGGTGCAGATCCATTCCTAAGTGGTGCTTTGGATTTAATTGTCCCCTCTCCCCTATAATTCATATGTTGAGGCAATTAAGTTTAAGTGAGGTCACAAGGATAGGGCCCTAATCCGATAAAACTAATGTCCTTTTAGAAGAGGAAGAGACACCAGGAACACAAATCAAGGAAACTCCATGTGTATACTCAGAAGGCAGCCATCTGCAAGCCAAGCAGAAAGACTTCAAGGAAACCATGCCTATCAACACCTTGATGTTGAATTTTCAGCCTCCAGAATTGTGAG